CCACCCTAATTTGCCAGGTCTTTGACAAGTTAAACTCATAAAGGTTTTTTAATTTGCTTTCAAGAGATCATCTTTCCATTTCTCTGCTCATTCTTCCCTCACTTATTCCAGTTTATCCCTGGTAAACAAAACAATACGCTCTTCTCCAGGTAGGGTATTTCCAGCAGCAACAAGGAGCATTAACGCAACCCAGACTGGTACTACAGGTTAACACAAATCCCCCACACAACTGTGTCATCTTGGTCATTCAGGCTCTTCTTGTGTCCAAACACACGCATCCTGCTTTTCAGCTCCTTCACCCCACTCCTACTCAGTCTTCAAGATCATCAAGGTCCTCCTGTAAAATATTCCCAGTTTTCCGTGATTTCTTACTCTGTTGGTTCAGCAAATTTTATCTACGCGTCCATCCTCCGAGGTCCTTAATTAACTGCAGAGGTATCCTAAAGCCACCCCTCGGGAGGCCTACAAACAACCCGTCCCCAGCTGCAGTTACCTCCCTTTTGCCTGATTCTGCTCCAACCTCATAATTCAACTTCTTCAGTACAGCTGTTCCCCACATGGCACACATTGAACATCAAGGAGATTAGGATCTACTCATTTGTCTACTCCAAGAATAAATTACAGAAGATATATATCAGATTAATTTGGCATAAACTACTATTTAATTACCCTTTTTTTCCCCAAAAAAATCTTGCTGTAAAACATAACACTGCTGCAGTCAGACCAAACAGACCTGAAGTTACACAAAACATCTGCTACCACCTTTTGAACATCTGGACAAGCATACGCCTACATGCAGCACAGCTTCTAGTTTGAACAAAATCCAACCTACCAGATACTCAAACGCATATACTGCTTTCTTCTTGCAGTTCTGCACTTGAAAAATGGTAAACAGATCCCATCAAGTGACTCGATTCACAAGCTTGCAAAAACTGCAAAGTTGGCCTCGCTAGTCTCCAAAAAAAAGTAACTGTGATCCATGAAGACGATCCACTCAAAAGATACATCTGGTAAATCCAGTTCCTAATTTCTGAAGTGGATTTATTTCTGAAGAGATCCCGCTGCAGTATCTGGCCGAGATGAACTGCCTTCATCTTATGCATATTCTGTATAACAACAAGCCAGGTGGGATTTCCCTGCTACACTTTGAACAACTGCAATCATGTAGCCACCGCAAGTCTAAAAATGTAATATTAAGGTCAAGCTCTCAATCACTTTTCTAGAGGTCTTTCCACTCCGCCTTCTCGACCACAGCATCATCCCCCTCACTTCCTCTCGCTTGCTCCAAATCTCCTCCTTTCCCTGCTGTGCAGACCACATCCACACATTTCTTCCCTCCTCCAAAACAACTGTGACCCAGCCACGTTATTCTCATTTTGGCCACGCCTAGGAAACTCATTTATCCGTTATCTATTAATATGGACTTTACCCAAGGCCATTCAGAAAGATAAAACCAAGTACTTCCCAAGCCACCAACTGGAACGAACAAACAGAAACACACACACCCACGCAAATTACCTTATTTTCGTTTTAAACAGATACAGGAAATGTAAAGATGTCAAAGTAATTCACAAAGTCACGGTAAGAAATTCTAATTAAAGTGAGAAGTCTTAAGCATCAACACAGGATAAGTTTTCTCGTGGAGCAGAGCCAGCTTAGGCCGTTCCCCTTCTCCAATCCAATCATTCCTGCCTCCTACCGCAGCTTGCTCGTCCTTCAGCTATACCACTGCAACTCCTGGACAACTGAAAAGATCACACTGAAAATTAAGTCCTCTTCCTGCTATTTCTTTTCTTCATCAATTCTGTTGGATCAACCCTTCCTTCTTAGCAAGGTGACATACGTGTTCCATATCAGATCTAAAGTGGGTTTTGAGTTAAAAGCGCTGTATCTGAGCACTTCAAAGTCTGCTCGGTTTCTCAAGTTATGGTCACATTAGATGCGTGTGTCATGGTTAATAACCCAGATTTGGTGTCATTTAACAGAAGAGCTTCTAAGAACATTGATCAAAAATTCACCTAGCTTATTTTCCATGGGTCACGTATCTCCATCTTCTCGTACAAATCCAGGTGCTGCAGATAAGTCACTTTTACCCTTCTTCTTCAGCCAAAGGTGCTCTTGCCCTTTAACATCCATCTATCCTTCCCAAGAATGCCTACTTTTGGGACAATCTGGTACCAGGCATCCGAACAGTCCCAGATGATAAGCTTTAGGCCATAATACAGTGAGGATCTGCCCTGATATTTCTTGAAACTCTTTTAAAGGCCTAAGTAAAGACATAGCTTTACATAGAAAATATCAAGATACTCCATAGTTTCTCAAGAAGGCGTGGTGAAGAGTTTGTCTGAATTCTGGGACTGAGTAAGAAATTAAAAAATAAAAAAATTCAAAAATTCTAGACTGCCATTTTTTGGTAGCTTTAAGAAATCTCTCCTCCCCACCCCATACAGTTGCTTCTAAATCATCATTTCAATACAGTGAGAAAAAGGTCAGGTATGGAGGAAGAAATACACACTGGTTTTTGCTCAAATTCACAAAATTATGATAAATACTAATTAATTAGTCTCTTGAGATTTGGTGATGCAGTTCACATCTGAGCTTGCCCATGACTGTTAATACCACCCTGGCAGATTATCCTGCAACAGCAGCGTGCTCTGGATCAAGCTCCGGAATTTTTTTAAAGTATATAAATCAATGCCTTCTGCCATGTGGAGGTAGCAGATCCGCTATTTGGGGCGCTAAAAGATTTGTTATGTTGAATACAGGTGTTATATCAATGTCTTCCTCAGCAACGCAACTTCTGCCACTGCCTCAAAAAACAAGTGACCTGGTGCAACTCTAGAGATGGAAATCAGAGTGAGAGCAAGAAGAGAAGAGGACAGGAATATTTTCCAACTGTTTCTACCACCTAAGAAAGTGTTTGTAAAATCAGTCACTCAATCATCTCTAGCTCCTACCAACATTCCTGTTTTTTCTGACCGAAATAAAAATAGCAACCCAAGAAATTAGCTTCATTAATGCAGAGTCAGGCATATCCACAGGATCTTCTCAGAATGGGTTTGGCTGGTTCATGTCTTCCTATTTTGGGAGCTTATGATGCATATTCCAACAGCCTTACCTACATCCTTCTCAGACCATGTTTAATACCAGACTCGTTTACATTCATTAAGAATTATTATGTTCATAATAAGAATTAATATTTCCTTTAGAAATGTAATAGTTTTGCTGGAGCAGATGTTCCAGGAACAGCATGGAGCACCACCGGGCAGCCTGGAGGACAGCAGATACAGTGGAAAAGGACTCCCGCAGCAACGCACGCATCCCGTTGAGTATAAGCATGGGAAGATCAAACAGACAGGAGACAGTTTTACAAGCTCTAATGTTGCCTCTTTTTCCGGTTTTTCAATGCTTCTATTCAGAAAAATACTACAAAAATAATCTCACATCTAACAGACCTAACTTGAAGCGAGAGGCTTAAACTCTTTTCTTGGTTAAGTTACAGAACAAATTATTTGATTACAAGCTAAAAATACTTACTATCAGACATTCCTTCTCTCTTTAAGGAGCACTTGAATTGATAATCCCACGACAAAAACAGGAAATACATTTTTAATGTGGCTGATTAACATTTTAGCTCACTTTGGAGTACTCACTGTATCCCTTCACCTGAACATTTTAATTCCAGACTGCTGACATTTCCTACAAATGCATTATAGTTGAAAAATAAGTTACGGTGTTGACAGAGCACAGTGCTCACTGGTCTGCCTTGGGCAAGAAATCTGATTACATGGCTGTGCCGATCCCTTCTGGCCTCACCATTTTTCATGACATAAAAACCCATTCAGCCATAATCCTTTTTTTTTTTTTTTTACTGCTGATGAATTTAGGAGAAAGATAACAAAGCATCTAAACGGAACCACAGCGACCTCAATACTCCTGCAAGCCATTTAACAAGCAAAGGGAGGCTCTGGAACATGCAGGTACTACAACAGCCGTGGCAGAGACTGGCGGTCATCTCCCCAAATGTTTCATGTTGGCATGGAGTCCTTGTTTGCAGAGCTTGTGGAAGAGACCGCACTGGGAGCCTGCCAGCTCTGCTAGCAGCCAGACCAACTTTCATCTGGTCTGGCTTTCACCTCATCTAACTTCAGGTTGGTTTATACTTAAACAGGATTGACCGTATCTTGCAAAATAAAAGACATAAACAAAGCATATGGTCTTGGTACACAGCGAAGAGCATCTGCTCCTCTTCATCAGTAGAGACACAAGCTGGAGCTTCCAAGGGGATTCGGGCCCCCCCATATGAACCTACACGGGAGGTCCATGAAGGCGGTGGAAACCCAAGCAGGGCAGCACTGGACCAAGGCAGGAAGCCACTAACAGGGCTCCTGAGCCCTCCAATAGAAGTGTGGCACTGGCTCATCCCTCTCCCAGACAAAGGGCAAAAATAGAGGGCACAAAGAGCCAAAAGCAGCCTTCCACCCCACGTACCACGCTGCTCACCTCTCAGCCAGTCCTGTCCTGATATACCCTTTACCACACTAACAGTAAAAAGAGCACCCAATGCTCAAAGCGTTACAGGGAAGATTTTGGCACAAGTTCTAGGAAAGGTAAAATTAAATTGTGTCAGATCTCCTCTAGCCACGCTTAGAGCGCAAAAACCTGTTTCAAGTAACGCTCCACTGGTCCTCCCCTGCAGTGCTCCTGCACGCCTCATCCAAGTGACCTTTGATCTCCAACACCTTCCTTTGATGCTCAAGGATCTCCACAGTCTCCTCACTACCCTTTTTGTTGGTAAAGGGTAAAAAAAGGGCAAGCAAGCAACACTAAACATCTCTTCATGCGCACACACCCAGGCTCATGCATATCCCAAATCTTCCCCACAAGCACTTTTTTAGGCAAAGCAACTCATTTGCCACTACAATGCCTATTTTTGACCCTAGAGGACGATCTCTTAAACTCAGAGAGATTTAACTAATAACATTAAAATGATGACTTACCAGTCTCTCATTATCTTCTGAGGTTCTCTGGTAATGAGCTGCTAAAGCAACGTAATCCTGCGCCTGCTTGTTACACTCTAAACACTTAAGTCCATGACGGATTAGTCTCAATGGGTCCGTATAGAGAGGCAAGGCTGGCTGAGTGTTAGCAGAAATTCCTACCCCACCTCCTGAAGCAGCACTGGGCTTACGTGAAGGAGAGGGCGAGTGCAAAGTCTGAGGAGCCAGAGAGGCTGAAGAGCTTGTAGGAGAAGGTGAAAACATTTGGTCTAAGGAAATTGGTTTCATTAGCAGCTGAGAACACTGCATGATAAATCCTTTGCTCTTATGATCTCTTGCATGTTTAAGCAAGCTACACTTATTAAAAAAAAGTAGCATAGTTGAACACTGAGTGCACATGACTTCAATATGAACGCTTCGTCTACTATAGTGTTGAGTCAGGCTCTTCTCTAAGGCAAACGAGTCCCCACATTCCAGGCAACAATACCCAGAGGCAGGTAAATTAATACTGGTGTCAGGTGGAGGACTAAGGTTTGGAGTATATATCGGCACTGGATTGGCACTGTGTAGTACTTTATTAAACGCCTCCACGATGACGGGAGCAGCTTTCTTGACTTGGTGCACCAGCGGCACAGACATCTGTGTCACCTGATGCTGGTTTCGCCTCTGTGTGGATGACTTTGCCGTAACAGAAGCAGCAACGCTGTGCGGGACTAAGTTGAGATTTGCCAAGTGCACGGCTTTGGGAAGAAGGCTGGAGGTGGTTGCGTTGGATGGCTGCATCACGATACCCTGCTGCTGCCTCTTAACACCCACTTTTATGGCACCGCTGCCGCAGTTTGGCAGCGGAGATAAGGACACGGAACACGTGCTGTTTGCAGCAATATCTGTTTTTATACCGTCTGTGTAAGGACTCGTGACGTTTGACAGCTGGATAGCCACAGCAGCCCCATTTTTGGTTGAGTTCTTGTTAGTCTCGCTTTCCATAACCGTGCTAGTGTCAGGGGACGGGAAAGATTTGATAAACTCTTCGGCAGATGACGTTTCCGCAGGCGACTCTTCTGAAGATTTGCCCAACTCATCATTTTCTGGCAAAATTCTAGTTACAGTTCTTTTAATTTCACCAGAGGATGTCTTGATAGTCTTTATTCTAACTTTGGGAATAGCTGGCGGAGAGCCGGCTGCCATGGAAGGAGAGCCTTTCCCACTGCTGTCGCTGCACACACTTCGAGGACTCTCGGGCTGCTTGCTGGCCTTCCTTACCACCTCTAAGGGGCTTCGGGGACTCTTTGGTGACTTGGGCATTTTTGGACTTCCTTTTGTCCCATCTTTAAAAGGACCAGGTTCCTTGGTAAGATTTGGCTGATCGCCTTTTGGAATACATGCAACCTTTTTGGCCTGAAGAGCTACTAATGCCGCCACGCAGGATGACAACTTTGAATGAGTTGGCTTTAACCTCTGGCGAGGAGGTACTGACGAAGACACGTTCAGCTCAGGCACAGACCCCTTGCTTTCTCCTAAATTATTGTGAGGGATGTCTCCAAACACCAAGCCTTCTCCAAGAAAGCTATTGGTATCTACCAAGTCCTTGCTCGACTCCGCAAACCTCTCCGCTGCTTTGTCTTGTTCTCTCCTGCTCATTTCCAGCCTATTCTCTGGCTGGCAGTGGATTTCCATCTTTTGTTCCTTTTTACAGTACTGATCAAACATGCTTAATTCGGGCTCTGGTACCTTCCTAAGATGATCTAGTACTGAAGCTCCTGTCGGTATATACATTGAAGGCGGTGGAAAATACGGAGTTTGGGCATGTTTGGGTTTGTCACCAATACTGTTCTCTTTGAATGTGTCCTCTGGTTCAGGGCTGGAAATCGGGCTAAACTGACTAAATGTTGGCAAAGGCTCCGACTTGGACTGGTCCAGTTTATCAGAGTAACTTCTCGAGCTGTCGCCATTAATGAAAGTTGACTCAAACTTGCCATAACTGTGCACTAAAGCGTGAGCCTCTGATGGCAGATCAGACCCACGAAACCCATTGTGTAGCAGACCAGTCCCGAGATGATTCCCCTCTTTTTCTGCTTCAAAGGACTCCTGACGACTTGTGTTCTTCACTATCACACTCACAACGGGAGCGTCAGAGGGAGGCAAAGAGTGAGATAAGGACACATTCTCGTCTATGCAGATTCCCGATGACTTCAGGTGATTCTCATTCTCCTCCCCAGCTGATGGGATGGTCTCCTTGGCATCAAGGCTAGTCGGATCAGGGATGTCAAAAGCAGCCAAGAGGTCATCAAAGTCTGGGGTTTTCATGTCCCCCATGATGAAGGCTACAATTAAAAGCAAAAAAAAAGTACTTTGTCAGGTACATTTCTCCCAAGGACAAACTTTGTAAGGCTCATTTGCATAAACATCTCACGTGACAAAAAACACAACTGCCCAAAACTCAAATGCAGCAGGGTACAAAAGCTAGAAACATCCGCGGCAGACACTTCAGCTGCCATTTTAACTATTCCGAGACTGACTTATACACAAAGATATCAGCCCAGCTTTTTCAACACAAAAGTGCCATTTCGCAGGGCATCGCAGGGAAGGAACCTCTCCTGCCCAGCTGCGCCTGAAGGGTCGGCGAAAGCTCAGGTGCCATCCTGCTCGAGCTGGCAGGGGCAGATGACAAGTGACAGGAGCTGTTCACTCCTGCAACACAACCCATGCTCTCTGGGTTGTGGGCAGAGTTGCCCCTGGTGCTTCAAGCAACGTGGCAGGAGACAGCCTGGTTCAGAGCTGGTTCAAACACAACCTTTTAAATGACACCAAGCTCATGCTGGGGACATCTTTTCAACCTGTTAGATGCACTGCTACTCCAAAACAGCTGTTGGCGCGAGCCTCAACAGAAAATATTCAGCAGTACACCAGTACGGGGTTTCTTTTTTGTTTGGTTGGGGGTTTTTTTGTTTTTAGAGCAAATCGGCAACAATCACTGCCAATTTCTCAACAAATTGTCACATCCGAAGAGTTCAGTCCTCCTTCAAGGAAAAAAGGCAGGACTAAACAGGTAGACCAAGAGAAATAGGCCTGAGAAGTGAGATGACTCCTTACCCAGAGCAATTTAAATAATAGAAGTCTTCAGTAAATATTTCAATACAGCAACTCAGAGCATGGTAAACCAAGCAGGGTTTATTTGAAACAGGGGCAATCCTTAATTAGGTAACAATGCGAGGCAAAACTGCCCAAAGACAGAATAAAGGATCATATCCAAATCATGACAACAAGTAGTGCTCCCAGCCAGCTCTCTCTTTATAAGTCCTCCAGGAGGGAAGCGGGGATTTAGACACTCACCACAGAGACCCACGACAGCAATAATCAAGCTCTGATGAGATGCATAATGAAAACTGACAGCACAGAATTACTTGAACATTAGCATTCACTACTGTCAGGGATACTGGTTTTCCCCTGTTTAATCAAAATATTTTCAAGTTGGCACAAAATACAGACTTCTCAAATACTTAATAAGTCATTCTTTTAATACGTGTTCCATTTAAACCCCAAATTTATGTGAACTGATGCACCACTGTATGCCAGTGAGGAAAGAAAACCCAAAGAGCATCAACTGAACTAGCGGAGCACCAGTTCCTACTTGGCACAGGGCACCCACAGCAAGGACTTATCCTGTCACGCTTACTTCACCTGGGCTGCATCAGTGCTGCCAAAGCCAATGGCAAGCGAGGGAGACGGAGTGGGTGGCAGGAGCCTAGGAGAAAGGGGGAAAGAGCTGGGAGCAGAGGTGCAGGCAGAGAGGAGGACCCTGGGACAAGGTGGAGGGAAAGAAGCTGATACCTTCCCAAAAGGCCACTGATTTAAGGCTGCTTTCGTTGTTTACAATCGGGTTTAAAAGTCTGTCAAGCGTCACATTAAAACCAAACAAAGCGCAACTCTTCCTGCCAGACTGCTGGTACAGGGAACAATTTACAGAGACGGGCCAGGAGAAATCACTTCAGCACGGAACAAGAGGACACAGTGATCTTTGCGCTTTAGTTCAGCCGTGCCTACAGACAAGCCCCAGAGATGTTGCTTTGGTTAATCTACTGCAAAACACTCTGCGGAGGTCTGCTTGGTTTAAGAGTGGCTCACTGTGGCTTAGCTTAACCTTGTTCTTGTTCTTAAATTAAACCACAAATATGGATGTCCACAGAGGGCTGTGCCATAATGTACAATTGCATCCCTCAGCAAGGTAGGGCAGCTGTGCGTTAAGTCCCTGGAAGCCCAGAAGATTATCCATACGCTTCACATCACCAGCAACTTGATAAGGACTTTTGAAACATCGCAGATTACCGCGGCTGGCAAAGAGCGCGGACCTGAAACTTCCCCTTCCTTTGGGTCGGAAAGCTTGTGCCAGCTGGGAGAGAGCTCCCAAGATTTCTGGCACACAAATCCTTCCACAAGGAAGACACTTCATCCATAACCTGGAATGCTCAAGTTCTATATAGAGAAAAAACGAGCTTGCCAATTGCTCTTGATTTTTTCCGTTCTCACTGTCAAACACCTATCCACATCTTCAGACACGGCAGTGTTTTAAAATACAAGACAAAATAAATCCGAGGTATCTGCAGCATTACAAAATATGCTTTTCTTGGAAGAAACCCTGCGTTTTCAGAAGCTTTCGCGTACACCTTTGGTCCTACAGAAAACTAGTTTATGCTCTTTGCTACTATGAGAGCACAAGTCTCTACTCAAGAATTTCTCTGCAAAATTGCACCTTAAACTTGTCATACGTGAAGCTACAATTTCTCAGAATAAAGCATAATGGGACCCAGATTCTAGAGAAAACCAAGTAAGTATCTTGCCAGCAGAAGTGATTTTTAAGTGACATGAGTTCAAAGCTTTGACTAAATCCCATTTATTTCTGTTCTCAGGTAACAAACAGAAAAAATATATTGAAGGAAATTACGTCAAAGCCTCACGCAAACTGGCTTGTGAGAAAAGCTGAAAATAAAGACCTCCATCCTTACTCCATCCTTCTCAAGCAAAGAACTTGCCTTAGAACCCAAGCTCGGAATCCAGTTTTCTCTCTCTGCTGGCCTATGAAAACACAGAGGTCGAGATTGGCAAAGCAATAGAAGAGGTGAATAAAACGAGCAAAGAAGGACTTGCGGAGCAGAACGCATGTGGTTCCATGCGCAAAAGCAACCTCACACGTTTCTCCAGGAGGCAGGGAACCTAGAAGCCTCCAAGCTGTGCAAGAAAACCCCTGCGAACTGCCTCAATGCAGTATATCAAAGCCCAGGGCCTTCTGCTGTGGCTAAGCTTCAAAACCCTGCAGTTGGCAGGGGTACCACAGGCCCAGCGTCCCGCATGGGCACCATACAAACCTTTCGCTTGCGGTGCTATTCCTGGGGACTTTCGGAGATCTGCAGTAGCTCCTCTGCAGCTTTCAAACCAGCGCGTAACATACTGTTCAAGGAGGAGGTTCAAGATTGCCACCTGATAGGAAAGCACGAAAACGCAATTACACCGAGGTTAAATAACAAAGAAAAATAATAATTAATAGTAAATATTGCTAAATCTGCAAAACAACAGGGGGGTACAAGGGAAAACATCTGCCAGGGGCTGGTCCAGAGGAGACAAGCGTCTGCGGGAGG